AGGATCATTGACTGGGACCGTTCTAAGTCAGGAACAACAAGAGCCAGAGTGTCGATTGTGATCGTGGACCCAAGTAGTTCAGGAGGGAATGTCATACTAATTTCAATGTACCCTAGATAAGGTACTAGCTGACCGTTTGCTCCTTCTATTTCTAACAGGTTATGCAGTGGTTTAATCTCATGATCAGAAAAGTATGAATTGTAACATGAGTGGGGCACTGTAGTGACCTGGGAGCCAGTGTCGAGAAGACAGTTAATGTGGGTCCCTTTAATCTGGATTTGACCGGTGCTCTTGGTTCCGACTAGACCTTTGGGTAAGTGTGGCAAACTGCATGTGGTTTTGGGACATTGTCTGTTGGTCACAGCTCCTGAGAGTCCCTCTACAGAAGCTGGTTTTAGTTTAACTGGCCATTTGAGTGTTTGTTGTTCCAAGCCTGCTGTTTCTGGCGTAACTGTTTTTTCTTCTGATCAACCAGAGTGGGATTGGGTGTATTGCTGCAGGAGGAAGAGATGTGTCCATCTTCACCACAGTTGAAGCAATACCAGGGCTTGGGCTTCGCTGGAGACTGAGATGAAGAGCAGCTTGACTGACGTGGTGCGGGTTTGGTGGACTTGGAGTTTCCAGATAGAAAGGCAGACATCTGCTGCTGAAGCTGTTCCATTTGTTTCTTGAGATCCTTAAGATCGTTACTGGCAGAATGTCCACAGGAACAAGTGCTCTGTGACTGGATGTTAGCTTTCTGCTTTGAAGGACCAGAACCAATGTGTTTTTTCATCAGTGTGTCTTTAGCTTGTTGTCTGTCTTCTTCGGTGCGTAGTAACAGCAGGAGTTCTGAGAACAATGGTGGGTTGTGTCTACGCTGCTCCAACTGCAACTTCATTAATAAATCATTGTCCCAGCACCCACGTACAAACTGCTTCAATAAGTGCCTGTCAGTCTCAGCAGGGGAAATGCCTCCTCTCTTCACCACGGTGTTGAGCGCAAGTTGAAGCCGCTGGAGGTACACCGATGGCCTCTCCCCTGGGTTTTGCAAGATATTGAAGTATTGGGCAAACAACTCCTCACCATCTTGCACCGTGCCAAAAGCTGAATCCAGGATGCGGAGCAGGACAGTAGGCAGTGTGTTCGGCCCCAACCCTTTAATCAGATCTGCAGCGGGAGTTAGCAAGCTCTCCATGATTCGTCGAGTGACGTGTAGTGCGGACAGGCCCGGATCAGCAAGCAGTAATTCAATTTGGGCCCGCCACGAATCAAAGTCAGCTTCAGTGGTCGGCTTCGGAATACGGCCGGAAAACGAGCGAAGATGCAGTGAAGGAACACTCAGGCCAGAATTACGTACAAACATGTTCTACTACAACCCTCTGTATCTCTGGAGGGTTGAGTTCATTGCCTGACAGGGAAACCCTAGGTGTGGACCCAGCTCTCATGGGTTCTGATTGGGGAATATGTCTGCGTCTCGCCCCATGTTGATCAGTGTTGATCAGAACAGGGGATGGCTGAGGAGCTAAAGGTGCAGGCAGGGAGACAGACGCTGGCATTGCGATGTTTAGTATGTCCGCTTTGTCGTCGTCCTCTCCATCCTTATTTCCATTTTCTTCATCCTCAGTTGCTCCGGTTGAATTCAAATGTTCTTTAATTTGATCCATCATCGTTTTGAGCACGTCCTCAAAACGTGTACCGCTTTGGTCAGCTAAATCTCTTAAGCTACGGAGGTAATCAGGGGGTATGCTGCTACCTGCTGTGGCGCTGTACTCACTAGCGAGAGCAGTAATGCTATACAGGCAGTCAGCAGCGGAAGTGTACTTGTACGGAAGAAGCTTAAGAGAACGCATTGAACGCGCTGGTTTCTTTAAACTCAACGATCAGGTTTTTAAAAAATGTGCTTTTCGGATCGGTAACAGGCAAAACTGTTGTGAGTGAACCATATGCACGTAGTCTATCAAGGATTTCATTATCCTCACTAGTGTTTGTGACACCACTGATTAGAACTGAGCGCGACATGTCCACCCCTGATTGCGCAACAAAATCCATGTCTGATGTAAAAATATCAGACTAGCAATTATTCACACCACTAGGCTCCTGGCTAGCTCGCCAAATGTAACGCCTTGGGCTAAGGATCTGACTGGGCCGAAGATAGAGAGCAGGCTTTCAGACCAGGTTCGCCTACAGGAGCCAAAGCGGGTGAATAAGAGACACAGAATGAGTAGTAGTGGTTTCAGTTTGTATATATTGAAGTTTGTCAAAGGTAATTTGCATATATGATAATCAGTTATGGTATAATTATAAGGTGTAACAATTAATTGGCAGGGTTATAATAAATATTACTAATACAATAGGTATATTATAACAGGTATTGATTAATGCTTTCTTTATATTATAAATAACCAGGAATAATTAATATTATAATATAATATGTATGGAATATATTATATTATCTATTAATTATAACTCAAACCAAAAACCAAAATCAAAGTCAATCCAAGTCGAGGGAAACTAAAAAAAAAAAAAAAACAGGAATGTTCACCAGGTCTTGGTATCACAGTTCAATTGCTCTTCTTTAGAGTTCAGTTCATTAAAAGGTCCATATGTCATGGAAAGTTCAATAATCCAGGTTCACAAAAAACAAAAGGTGTCCTACCGCGATACAGCGGAGGTTGGGTAGCTCGCCATCGAAGAAAAGGTCAAAGAAGTACACACACAAAAAAAACTGACCTAAAACACAAGTCAGGAAAAAGAAAAAACCATTAGTTAAGTACCAGAGTTAGCAGCACTTTAAATAGGTACAACATAAATAAATACTAGATAACATTAGAAAGCTAAAAGACTAGCAATACATCAAATACATTCAATATGAACCGCATAATAAAGTAGGAAAAAATAAATATGAAGCTTCATTCAAGTATTACATTGTGAATGTAAATGTGTGAGTTAAATGTAAAGTGTGTATTAAAGTGTGTATTCAATGTAAAGTGCACTTTAAATATACATTGTACTCGAGGTACTCAATCCAATTCAATAATAATAGTGTTGCGCAACAGATCTCATTCATTCAGACGGAGTCTGAATTCTGTTCAAAACAAATATGGCCGCGTGGGCATTCGTATTCAAAAGTAATCAAAACACGCCTTAAACAACTTAAAGTTTGAGTTTGATGCAATATTCTAACATATATGAGTGTAGCCTAAAGTTCGGTTGGACTACCTTGTCAAATAAAACGAGTCTCAAAGAGAAAAGAGCAGAAATACACGCAGCAACCGGCTGTAGCTCTACGCTGCGTTAGCATTAAACATAGCTAAAGGTTAGCCGGAGATTGCGCTTCATGCTTAAACAAAAACAGGGAAAATACTTAATTTCGCGACTCACCAATAAGTAGAGAAAGGGACGGATCAAAGACGGATGGGTCCGCAGGACCAAATGTGGATGTTAATTTTCCGTTTCTCAGGTTTGAAGAGTCTTCAATCAGCGCCACAACAGATAGCAACGTGAGGGGTTGCTGACACCTATCAATTCAAGCTGAGAGTGAGAGTGAGAGAGAGAGAGCCGCGGGGAGCGGCTGCTATATGGGAAACGGGCCTGCCAAAATAAAGCGGGCAGGATGAGGCTTCAGCTAGGGACCCGGGTTACAGACAGACTCTCCCACCTCAGCTGTAGTTATCTGCAGTTCATCCAGAGTGATCATGGGCCTCTTGGCTGATCAGTCTTCTCCTTGTTTGAGATGAAAGTTTGGAGGGACGGCCGGGTCTTGGTAGATTTGCAGTGGTCTGATACTCCTTCCATTTCAATATAATTCGGGCGTTCTGCTCTCCCAAAATTCCATCCGATGGGCGGGGGAGCGACTGAATTTTGCGTTGCATTATGGGTAACACTTGCCTTCGCAACTTCCGGTTCTCTCTGCCCGGCGCATTTTCTCTAAATGGTTGAGTGTTTTCGTCATTTACTGTATGCATATAAATTCCCGTCTCTAACTAGTGGCATATCGCGCAAATCATCCGTCCAATTCACATTCTTCCCTCTTAGCTGAACTTCATTCTCATTGTTACCATCTGTCACTCGCACACACAGCCGTTTTTGTTCACTCTGCTCGCTGTCATCTTCTTCTAAATCTTCATAAACACCATCCGCTCGTTGAACTAACAACAACAATTCCTCCTTTCGTTTTCCCACACTGCAAATACCCTTTCGCTTCAACCTTTCACGCAATTCAGGCACTGTCAATCGTTTGTTGTTTTCGTGAGCCATATTCGTCATTGTATGAAATCCACCGGAAGTGAACTGGGCAACAAACGGTGTCATTTTTTGATCACAGCGCCGCTCAGTGGATGAAATTTTGGGAGAGCAGAACGCCCGAATTGCTTGCACAGTGCTCCTTGAGATGTTTAAAGCTTTGGAAATATTTTTGTATCCAAATCCGGCTTTAAACTTCTCCACAACAGTATCTCGGACCTGCCTGGTGTGTTCCTTTGTCTTCATGGTTCTCTCTGCGCTTTAAACAGAACCCTGAGACTATCAAAGAGCAGGTGCATTTATACGGAGACTTGATTACACACAGGTACATTCTATTTATCATCATCAGTCATTTAGGACAACATTGGATCATTCAAAGGTCCTCACTAAACTTCTGGACTGAGTTTGCTGCACTGAAAGTAAAGGGGCCGAATAATATTGCACGCCCCACTTTTCAGTTTTTTATTTGTTAAAAAAGTTTAAATTATCCAATAAATTTCGTTCCACTTCACGATTGTGTCCCACTTGTTGTTGATTCATGACAAAAAATATTTTTTTTATATCTTTATGTTTGAAGCCTGAAATGTGGCGAAATGTTGAAAGGTTCAAGGGGGCCGAATACTTTCGCAAGGCACTGTATATAATAAACAAGCCAATACAGTGATTCGAACGTATTCTATTCTAAGATTTTGACGGTGGGACCCTCCTACATCAAACATCAACACGTTTAAGTTTCTTTGCTTCCTTCTGTTCATGCTGTGTGTAGGTTGCGGTACCTGTAGTGTGGCGAGCACAAGCTGCCAGGACGAGCCCAGAACAGCTCCGTGGCAGTGGGCCAAGTTCAGCAGGGTCCTCATGCACTGGATGTTCTTGGCAGTCAGCTACAGACGGAGAAGAAAGAGAGAAGAAGGGTGGAAGAGTGAGAGAGGCAGCAGGAAAGATGGGATTTCACACTGCAGACTTGTGTTGAGACCATAGACTGTAAATACTAACGGACGTAGTGACGGCGTATTCTCTCAGTTGAAATTTATGTGTGACCTCATAATTCCTCTGAGGTCTGTGGGCTCCATCACTCTGGAACTCTTTAAGCCCTCATCTTAAACTGAACTCTGATTGGGCTGGTTCTAAACACAAACTGAAACTTTTTTTTTTTTTTTTTTTTTTAAACAAACCAGTTGGGGGATGATTAATGAGTCTGCTTTGTCTTTGTTTTGTCTTTCTTTCATGTGTTTCCTCTGTTTAATTTGTCTTCCTGTATCTTCTATCTAAAAATGTTGACTTCTGTTTGTATTCTTATGACTGTTTAATTGTTTATTATGCTGACTGTGCAGCGCTTTGTAAACATTGTTTTTGAAAAGTGCTGTATAAATAAAGATGTATTATTATTCCAGCTGCCATTGTATAACGTGAATGTAACAATGTACAATGTGCTTTTAATTGCGTTAAAAGCTCTTCTAGGAACGGACATTGCAAATTAGCCTTGGCTATAAATGTTGACACATTCATTTAACGAGTGCATTCAAAAGTCCACAGCAGCTAAACTGAGCTGGTCCAACAACAACAAAAACTCCCATCAGCCTTGACAGCATCTGGAACTTAGTGTTGAGCAAAGTGCGTTTTTAGGACCAGTTTGTAAAAAAAGGCGGCATAAGAATTCATTGGATAATTTTGTTTCCGGGTACACCCCCACCAGCCAGGAGTCAGCTTACAGGGCACATGCTCATGGACCCTTTTGAGCCGAGACCCGCCCCCACTGGTTGAGACCTGTGTCGACCCGGAACAACATTGGGAAAGGTTGGCGTGTTGTTTGGACAAGAAAACCAGTTAAATGCTTAGAGGGTTCTTTTAGCCCGTTAGGTAGGTAGGTAATCTTTATTTATATACCGCCTTTCACAGACCAGAGTCACAAAGCGGTTTACAATTGTTATTTTTTTTGGGCACTTGTCTCTCACTCCACACAGAGATGGGAGCGGGGCCAGTACAGGAGGCGCATGCCAGACCTATTGTACATATTTTTAGTGGTAGGGGAAACCGGAGCACTCAGAGGAAACCTACGCAGACACAGGGAGAAAATGCAAACTCCACTCAGAAAGGCCCTGGTCCGACCGGGATTCGAACCCAGGACCTTCTTGCTGAGAGGCGAGAGTGCTATCCACTCAGCCACCGTGCTTAGTAAGTTTGGTTTATTTCAAGCACACAGTGAAAAAGTGCATTATCTTTCGACAACAACAAAAACAGTGGTCCTAAGACAATGACTGACACTGAGAGTAGAACAAAGACACTTCACTGCTACATGAAAAGGAGTGGGATGAGGTTGAACACTTATTGACTCCCACCCGCTCTTAATGAGACAGAAATGTATCTTTCTGAGCATTAAAAATAAGAAGCAAACCTGTAGTTATTTTCTAGGACATTTATTAACATTTCTGGACAGTGCTCATCCCGCTTCCTATCTGTTTGTTATAATTGCATTTCCGTTTTATTCTCTGATCTGTCGTTGAGGAATTGATAACTTTGTAAAGACCTCCGAGGCGACAGCTGTTGTGATTTAGGGCTGTACACAAATACATTGAATTAATTGAATTGAGTTGATCCCAGAGCATTCAAAAACAAGTTAAAAACACCACTTCCCCATGGTCTGAGTGGGAGAGCTCGCCTTGTTATGGTTGATATTGAGTTATGATAAATATCTCTGCATCTCTCAGGTTTAAGTCAAGTCGTCTGAAAGGAGTATTGTATTTTTCAAGAAAAAAAAACAAGGTTAAGGTCACGTCATTTCTATACTTTTCATCTCTGTTAAATTGAGAACTGCTAAAATGATCTTAAATTAGCAGTTTTGGCAAATTTTGGCGAATCCTTGGTTGGTGTTGCATGCATCCTGGCGTTCGCTGAGGTCTCGTCGGGGAAAGAGAATCCTGGACAAAGTTCCACCGTCTGAGTCTGCAGCTGTCAGCTCCACTCTTCCAAACCTCTTCATTATTCCTTGTTAATGTCAAACAGCAGCGAGCGCCACATGCATTATATATGACCTGTGAGGCGTTCGGGCCGAGGAGACGTCTGCGATTGGCGACACCGTGGATGACTTCATCACATCATTCTGAGTGCTGCCAAATCTCACTTCTTTTTACACATTTTTCTGTCAGAATTGTGAAGCGCGGGACACATTTGCACATGGTGTTGGTATTAACGAACTATTCCTCAAGATATTATAATTATTCACAGCATTTTTCATTCACTCCACACACAGGGGTGATAAACTACTACAGCTGCCCTGAGGCACATTGACAGAAGCGAGGCAACCAGGCAACCCTCCCACCACCACCAACCAATCACACACACACCAGACTCATTCTAATGTGGGGGAAGTGTCTTGCCTAAGGACACAGCCACTGTTGGGCACTTTACAGCCGCAGCCGCCCCACTGTGGCACCTGCTGTTCCCAGACGTCTCCCATCACAGCACTAACCAGGCCTTGCCCTCCTTAGCTACAGAGGTCTTGACAGGATCTGGCTTTCACCTGCAAGAGGCGCCACTAAATAAGATCCTTATGATCCAATAGAAACATTGTCATTTATGGTCATTTATAACCATTTATAAACATTGGTCTGGGCTCCTTCTGGACCAATGTCTCCATGTGTTTTTGTTATCATACTGTTTGATTCTCTGATCTGTGTTGGCAAATCGACAACTTTGTGAAAACAGGTAACTACTGTTGTGATTTAAGGCTGAATAAAAATAAATTGAAAACTGCTCTGTTCATAATGTCGTATAGCCTGAGTTGGTCCTAATGCACCAAACTTGAATGAGAGTCATTTGGACAGATGGGGCGGGGGGAGGGATCGATCCTTTGGCGCGCTGGATGGAGCTTCTAACAATTCCAGGTCTTTTAATAAACATGGGTCCAATTAAATGCTTTTGATTTGGTTCAGTTTCACATTTATCAAATCACCCGAGCATCGATCAATAAGAAGAGATTCTAACCACAACTTTTAATGAACCGAACTGCTCCAGGTTCAAACGTCTAAAACCAGGTCAAGTTAATATTATAACAAGGTCAAGTTAATATAATGAGGTAAAGTTAATATCATGAGGTAAAGTTAATATCATGAGTAGGGCCGGGACAATTAATTAATTACACACAAAAATGCGTGTTTAAAAAATTGACGCATTTTAATCTTGTATTCATTTTTCCACCACGGAACGTTCTTCACTGGATGAGTTTCAGACGGACCGGTTATACTGGAGCACCAACTGAGCTCCGTGACTTTTCTTGTTCAAAAGTACATCATAACAAGAATAGACCGACTTTAGCTGTGTCTAAATAAGAGTGAGTTAGAGACGGGAAAGAGCGCTGTGTATGGAGCAATGGACTCTGTGTGTGAGGAGGAGGAGGCGGAGGAGGAGGAGGAGGAGCAGGAGGAGAAGGAGGAGGAGGAGCGACACCAGTGTGTGAGCGGAGGCGGAGGAGCGACACCAGTGTGTGAGCGGAGGCGGAGGAGCGACATCAGTGTGTGAGCGGAGGCGGAGGAGCGACATCAGTGTGTGAGCGTAGGCGAAGGAGGCGGAGGAGGAGGAGGAGGAGGAGCAGGAGGAGGAGGAGGAGCGACACCAGTGTGTGAGCGGAGGCGGAGGAGCGACACCAGTGTGTGAGCGGAGGCGGAGGAGCGACATCAGTGTGTGAGCGGAGGCGAAGGAGGCGGAGGAGGAGGAGGAGGAGGAGGAGGAGCAGGAGGAGAAGGAGGAGGAGGAGCGACACCAGTGTGTGAGCGGAGGCGGAGGAGCGACACCAGTGTGTGAGCGGAGGCGGAGGAGCGACACCAGTGTGTGAGCGGAGGCGGAGGAGCGACATCAGTGTGTGAGCGGAGGCGAAGGAGGCGGAGGAGGAGGAGGAGGAGGAGCAGGAGGAGAAGGAGGAGGAGGAGCGACACCAGTGTGTGAGCGTAGGCAAAGGAGGCGGAGGAGGAGGAGGAGGAGGAGCAGGAGGAGAAGGAGGAGGAGGAGCGACACCAGTGTGTGAGCGTAGGCGAAGGAGGCGGAGGAGGAGAAGGAGGAGGAGAAGGAGGAGGAGGCGGAGGAGGAGGAGGAGGAGGCGGAGGAGGAGGAGGCGGAGGCGGAGGAGGAGGAGGGAGGAGGAGGAGGCGGAGGCGGAGGCGGAGGAGGAGGAGGAGGAGGCGGAGGAGAAGGAGGAGGAGGAGGAGGCGGAGGCGGAGGAGGAGGAGGAGGAGGAGAAGGACGAGGAGGCGGAGGAGGAGGCGGAGGAGGCGGAGGCGGAGGAGAAGGAGGAGGAGGAGGAGGAGGCGGAGGAGGCGGAGGCGGAGGCGGAGGAGGAGTAGGAGGAGGAGGCGGAGGAGGAGGAGGAGGAGAAGGAGGAGGAGGAGGAGGAGGAGGCGGAGGAGGAGTAGGAGGAGGAGGAGGAGGAGGCGGAGGAGGAGAAGGAGGAGGAGGCGGAGGAGGAGGCGGAGGAAGAGGAGGAGGAGGAGGAGGAGGAGGCGGAGGAGGAGGCGGAGGAGGAGGCGGAGGAAGAGGAGGAGGAGGAGGAGGAGAAGGAGGAGGAGGCGGAGGCGGAGGAGGAGGAGGCGGAGGAAGAGGAGGAAGAGGAGGAGGAGGAGAAGGAGAAGGAGGAGGAGGCGGAGGCGGAGGAGGAGGCGGAGGCGGAGGCGGAGGCGGAGGAGGAGGAGGAGGCAGAGGCGGAGGAGGAGGAGTGAGACACAGGTGTGAGCTGAACGCACACATCCAAAACATATAATAAAAGTGTGTGGAGGCGATGACAGAAAGCAGTCCGTCTGATCAAACATGTGTTGCTTAAGCTTCTGTTTTCAGTCATTAAAGTTAAAAGAATGAGGTAGAGTATCATAAGGAGGTCTCACCACCACAGTGCCCTGGGGCTGAGCCGACAGAGGCTGCCCCACTGCCACCACCTGCTGATGGGACTCACTGGACGGGCTGATGATCTGCACGTTCTGCCCCTGGATCGAGTAAGCTGCACACACAACAACAACAACACGTTTACACACAAGGCAACTCCATGCATAAATCACAGCACATTAAAAACAGTTAAAAGATAAAACCCTTCAGTTGTTTGCACAGCTGACCAGAACGGTTTTATAAAACATGGTCAGAGAAGAAGTCTGTCTCACATCTGAAGACTGCTCCAGATTGTAGCTGCATAAATATGGAATGCTGCCTCCCCATGTTTAGTCCTGACTCTGAGTCCCAGCAGGAGGTCAGTCTGTATTTAAGTTCCTACTGTAACTTTGAGAATTCGCAGTTTTTTCCAAATAATTCCCACAAAATCTCTTTAATTCCAATAGAAATAAGACTGGTGTAGTGTCCATGAAGCCTGTCTCCAGAGGTTTTCCCAATCAAAAAGTCTGTTTTCACTACATCAAACTGCACAAAATACAAGTCTGTTTCCATGGATCATTATGAAATCTCCACAACATTAAAGTTTATCTTATCAATAACTTCACAAACAATTTTTTTTTTAAACAAGGCGAAAATAGCTGTGGCTTTAAAATACCATTGCTTCCATATTTACAGCCCAAGCTATTGTTGCACTTTACAGCTTTAGCTCAAAACGACTAGTGTCAGAGAATTATTTTTATTTTTATTTAATTTTGTTCCCCATGTGAAGCGTCTTTGAGTGCCCAAAAAAGCGCTACAGTTTGATGTGTTATTAATAAAGGGCGGGTCATAAAACCAACAGGGAAAAAACTGTCCCCCTTATTCAAACAATATCACCAATAGATATTATAATCTAAATACGACTACTATCAGAATATTAATACAAACCCGTGTTAAAGCCACATATTCTCCTTGACGGCTAACATTGAGCTCAAATGATTCTCGTCTTGACTCGTGCGTTTGCTAACCCTGTCCTTATGCTAATTCGCCAATTTACTCAAAGCATGAACCAAAATATCTGTGGGGTAGGCTTTGGAAACAGCTTGTTGGAACGAGCGTGGCGTCCCTCGACAGCGCCGAAATGAACGTGCAAAAAGAGAGAGATTAGTTTGAGGCAACGGGGACGGCGTCTGGCAGAGCTCTGCGTGGTTAAGTGCAGCGGCAGAGGAAGAAGACAAGCGCTCATTAACCCCACAAAATAAATAAGCATAAAGCCTGCAGGCCTGGCTCAGGGGCTGCTGGGAGTTCACGCTCCGCAGAAGAGACAGAACGTACAAAGCATTGGTTGTTAGAGAGCGGGAGGCAGGTTCGAAGGTTTCTATCTCGTCTTTAAAACCGTCGTTTCTTGTTGGAGGTGACCTGAGGTTTGGACCATAAACGGTGAGTATGTGCACAGTGGAAAATTACGACTATAATTTACATTTATTAATATATTTTTTATTCACACGACAACGTTCACACATTTATTTTTTATTATTATTTTTTCAAGGTAGAGATTTTATACTTTTACTGATGCTAGAGTTAGAGATTTTGTTTTATGTTTATTAGAAAAGCTCTTGTTCACTTGACTTGTGCCGTCTGCTCCACTTTCCTTCTGTTTCTATAACTTGTGATGCAACACTGGCATTTCCCCACTGTGGGACAAGTAAAGGATCTCTTCATCTTAATCATTCAACAACATTTATGGACATTGGTCTCTGCCTCTTATGGACCAACGGCTTTATGTGTTTTTTTTCCTCATTGTATCTCTTGTGTTCGGACTGATTGATTCTCTGATCTGTGTTGGCAAATCGACAGCTTTGTAAAGTCCTTCAAAGATAACTACTGTTGTGATTTAGGAATACACAAAATACATTGAATTGAATTATCCGCTCGATGAACTAGAGATATTTCTGGGTTTCAAGAAAGCTACAGTATCTGACTGATAATCTCTCTTCTCTCAACAAGAAGGTCCTGGGATCAATACCCAGGCATGTTCTCCCAGTGTCTGCGTAGATATCTGGCCTCTCTCTCTCTCTGGCCTCCCTCTGGCCTCCCTCTCTCTGGCCTCTCTCTCTCTGGCCTCTCTCTCTCTGGCCTCTCTCCCTCTGGCCTCTCTCTCTCTGGCCTCTCTCTCTCTGGCCTCTCTCTCTCTGGCCTCTCTCTCTCTCTCTGGCCTCTCTCTCTATCTGGCCTCTCTCTCTCTCTCTGGCCTCTCTCTTTCTGGCCTCTCTCTCTCTGGCCTCTCTCTCTCTATCTGGCCTCTCTCTCTCTCTCTGGCCTCTCTCTTTCTGGCCTCTCTCCCTCTGGCCTCTCTCTCTCTCTCTGGCCTCTCTCTCTCTCTCTGGCCTCTCTCTTTCTGGCCTCTCTCCCTCTGGCCTCTCTCTCTCTGGCCTCTCTCTCTGGCCTCTCTCTCTGGCCTCTCTCTCTGGCCTCTCTCTCTGGCCTCTCTCTGGTCTCTCCCTCTGGCCTCTCTCTCTGGCCTCTCTCTCTGGCCTCTCTCTCTGGCCTCTCTCTCTGGCCTCTCTCTCTGGCCTCTCTCTCTGGCCTCTCTCTCTGGCCTCTCTCTCTGGCCTCTCTCTCTGGCCTCTCTCTCTGGCCTCTCTCTCTGGCCTCTCTCTCTGGCCTCTCTCTCTGGCCTCTCTCTCTCTGGCCTCTCCCTCTGGCCTCTCTCTCTCTCTGGTCTCTCTGGTCTCTCTCCCTCTGGCCTCTCTCTCTCTCTGGTCTCTCTCTCTCTGGCCTCTCTCTCTCTGGCCTCTCTCTCTCTCTGGTCTCTCTCTCTCTGGTCTCTCTCCCTCTGTCCTCTCTCCCTCTGGTCTCTCTCCCTCTGGCCTCTCTCTCTCTCTGGCCTCTCTCTCTGGCCTCTCTCTCTGGCCTCTCTCTCTGGCCTCTCTCTGGTCTCTCCCTCTGGCCTCTCTCTCGGGCCTCTCTCTCTGGCCTCTCTCTCTGGCCTCTCTCTCTGGCCTCTCTCTCTGGCCTCTCTCTCTGGCCTCTCTCTCTGGCCTCTCTCTCTGGCCTCTCTCTCTCTGGCCTCTCCCTCTGGCCTCTCTCTCTCTCTGGTCTCTCTGGTCTCTCTCCCTCTGGCCTCTCTCTCTCTCTGGTCTCTCTCTCTCTGGCCTCTCTCTCTCTGGCCTCTCTCTCTCTCTGGTCTCTCTCTCTCTGGTCTCTCTCCCTCTGTCCTCTCTCCCTCTGGTCTCTCTCCCTCTGTCCTCTCTCCCTCTGGTCTCTCTCCCTCTGGCCTCTCTCTCTCTCTGGTCTCTCTCTCTCTGGCCTCTCTCTCTGGCCTCTCTCTGGTCTTTCTCTCTGACGGTACCTTTGCTGGCGATGGTGTTGGCGTTGGTGCTGAGGACCGTGAGGGTGTAGTGAGGCGGCAGAGAAGCTTTGCAGATGGCGGTGATGAAGGCGTCTCGAGGCGTCACCAAACCCAGACGACCACAGAGAGACGCCATGGTCAGCTCCGCCTTCAGGATGTTCTCCGTCGCCGTTTCGTCCGTGCTGAACGAGCAGAAGTTCAAACAGATTCAACTCTAATATAGTTTGTTGTCTGAGGCACAGTGAAGACAGAGCTGCTCCTGAGGCTTTGATAACTCCCTCTCATCACAACAGAAGGACATGATAAATATGAGTAAGACTGGATACAGACTTAAGGTTTAGAACGTTTATTAAACACAATTACTACCTGGACATTACTTGCATCTGGTCTCTCTCTGGTCTCTCTCTGGTCTCTCTCTGGTCTCTCTCTGGTCTCTCTCTGGTTTCTTTCTATCCCTCTCTGGTCTGTCTCGCTCTCCGGTATGTCTCTCTCTCTGGTCTCTTTCTCTCTCTGGTGTCTCTCTCTCTCTCTTTCTGGTGTCTCTGGTCTATTTCTCACTCTGGCCTCTCTCTCACTCTCTGGTCTCTCTCTCTCTCTGGTCTCTCTCTCTCTCTGGTCTCTCTCTCTCTGGTCTCTCTCTCTCTGGCCTCTCTCTCTGGTCTCTCTCTCTGGTCTCTCTCTCTGGCCTCTCTCTCTGGCCTCTCTCTCTGGCCTCTCTCTGGCTTCTCTCTGGCTTCTCTCTCGGGTCTCTCTCTCTCTGGCCTCTCTCTCTCTCTGGCCTCTCTCTCTCTGGCCTCTCTCTCTCTGGCCTCTCTCTCTGGCCTCTCTCTCTGGCCTCTCTCTCTGGCTTCTCTCTCTGGCTTCTCTCTCTGGCCTCTCTCTCTGGTCTCTCTCTCTCTGGTCTCTCTCTCTCTGGTCTCTCTCTCTGGTCTCTCTCTCTGGCCTCTCTCTCTGGCCTCTCTCTCTGGCCTCTCTCTCTGGCTTCTCTCTCTGGCCTCTCTCTCTGGCCTCTCTTTCTGGCCTCTCTCTCTGGCCTCTCTCTCTGGCCTCTCTCTCTGGCCTCTCTCTCTCTGGCCTCTCTCTCTGGCCTCTCTCTTTCTCTGATCACTCTTCGGCCTCTATCTAGACTTTCTCTTTCTGGTCTCTCTCTCTCCAGTCTCTGTATCTAGTCTATATCTCTGTCGCTTCATTTTTGACTGAAATTATCTTTTACTTAGAATTGTGAGCAGTAATTTTCTCCCAGCGAGGAGCAAATGTGAGTTACTATAGCAACGCAATGTTTCATTTGAGTAGTTAGCATTTAGCATTTAAACAACTTGCTTCATTTCCAGTTATATTCATCACCAATACGTGGGCGGAAATGAGCTGTATGAGTAACTGTATGAACCTTAAAGGCCTTTTGTGGCCGTACTTGCATGCAAAAGCCAGATCCCATCAGACCTCTGAAGCTAAGCAGGGCAGGGCCTGGTTACTGCTGTGATGGGAGACCACGTGCCACAGTGGGGCGGCTGCGGCTGTAAGGTGCCAAACTGTGGATGTGTCCTCAGGCAAGACCCTTCACCCACATTAGAATGAGTCTGGTTATCCCCCCCGTGTTTGGAGTGAAAGAATAATGACATGTGAAGTACCTCTGAGTGTCCATAAAGCGCTGTATAAAACCGATGCATAATTATTATTATTAAACCTAAAGAAGACATCACTCACTTTTTACATTTGTTCAAAAGCTTATTGTCTTTCATTGGAATTAAATGATTATAGTAAAGGATAAAACTTGGTACCTGGCATCGAGCAGTAGAGACAATGCGGCCAGAAGACCACACCAGCAGGCACTGACCATCTCCTCCCAGACCAGGTGGGCGCCTGAAAGAGAGACATGGATCTGGATCAGAAACGCACACTACATTACGTTACATTATATTTAATAAAGACAACTTTCAGAAGGTGAAGGTCACACGTTAATCACTGTAAATGTGTTAATTATTTCAGAAAGCCAGGGTTATTATCCTGCCCTATATGTACAGTATATAACTCCGCACTACTACGTAAATATATATTTTTTGACTGGTATTGAAGCATCTTCAGCATTTACAGCTAGTTAATAAACATAGCTACTTATTTTGTGTATTTTGTGTGCTCCCTGTGTGCTCTTACTACTGTCCTGTCTGTGCGCTGCAACATCGAAATTTCCCCACTGTGGGACAAATAAAGGATCTCTTATCTATCTTATCTTATTATACAAGAAGGGAAACGTGTCCTCTGCATTTGACCTATCCCTCACTGCCACTATGGCCTCGGTCAGGAGCAGTGGTCGCCGTGGTAACAGGAGACCCAGGATTGAAAGGTAGGAGTCAAAATGACGGCTCTGGGAGTTCTCGTAGTTTCAGAATATAATCTAATCAACTACATTCAGAGTTTTGCAGTTATATAGCAAACAAAAGCACATTATTTCTGCCCTGGTCCACGCTCTGACCTGTTGGGGGCTCCCACTCTTGCTCTGGGTGAGACTCTCTGAACTCTGCCGCAGACTGGTCCTCAGCCGTCAGCTCCCTCTCGATCATGGAGGTGATGCCTCTGACCAGGTCCAGCAGAGCGCTGAAGGCCACAGACATGGCGTACCCCTCAGGGATGGACGGGGGCTCCACTTTGTCCAGCATCTCCAGACTGAACAGGAGAGAGACACAAAGATAGACACTTTATTATTTATGGCGTCTCTCTGTGGTCGTCTGGGTTTGGTGACGCCTCGAGACGCCTTCATCACCGCCATCTGCAAAGGTCTCTGCCGCCTCACTACGCCCTCACGGTCCTCAGCACCAACGCCAACAACATCGCCAGGAAAGTTACTGTCAGAGGGCAGAGAGAAAGACCAGAGAGAGGCCAGTGAGAGAGGCCAGTGAGAGAGGGGCTAGAGAGAGAGGCCAGAGAGAGAGAGACCAGAGAGAGAGAGGCCAGTGAGAGACCAGAGAGAGACCAGAGAGAGAGGCCAGAGAGAGAGGCGCCAGAGAGAGAGGCCAGAGAGAGAGGCCAGTGAGAGACCAGAGAGAGACCAGAGAGGGAGGCAAGAGAGAGAGGCCAGAGAGAGAGGCGCCAGAGAGAGAGGCCAGAGAGAGAGGGGCTAGAGAGAGAGGTCAGAGAGAGAAAGACCAGAGAGAGGCCAGTGAGAGAGGCCAGTGAGAGAGGGGCTAGAGAGAGAGGCCAGAGAGAGAGAGACCAGAGAGAGAGAGGCCAGTGAGAGACCAGAGAGAGACCAGAGAGAGAGGCCAGAGAGAGAGGCGCCAGAGAGAGAGGCCAGAGAGAGACAAGAGAGAGAGACCAGAGAGGGAGGCAAGAGAGAGAGGCCAGAGAGAGAGGGGCTAGAGAGAGAGGTCAGAGAGAGAGAGACCAGAGAGAGAGAAGCCAGAGAGAGAGAGGCCAGTGAGAGACCAGAGAGAGAGACCAGAGAGGGAGGCAAGAGAGAGAGGCCAGAGAGAGAGGCGCCAGAGAGAGAGGCCAGAGAGAGAGGCCAGAGAGAGAGGCCAGAGAGAGAGGCCAGTGAGAGACCAGAGAGAGAGACCAGAGAGGGAGGCAAGAGAGAGAGGCCAGAGAGAGAGGCGCCAGAGAGAGAGGCCAGTGAGAGACAAGAGAGAGAGACCAGAGAGGGAGGCAAGAGAGAGAGGCCAGAGAGAGAGGGGCTAGAGAGAGAGGTCAGAGAGAGAGAGACCAGAGAGAGAGAAGCCAGAGAGAGAGAGGCCAGTGAGAGACCAGAGAGAGAGACCAGAGAGGGAGGCAAGAGAGAGAGGCCAGAGAGAGAGGCGCCAGAGAGAGAGGCCAGAGAGAGAGGCCAGTGAGAGACCAGAGAGAGAGACCAGAGAGGGAGGCAAGAGAGAGAGGCCAGAGAGAGAGGCCAGAGAGAGAGGCCAGTGAGAGAGGCCAGTGAGAGACAAGAGAGAGAGACCAGAGAGGGAAGCAAGAGAGAGAGGCCAGAGAGAGAGGCCAGTGAGAGACTAGAGAGAGAGACCAGAGAGAGAGGGACCGGAAAGAGAGGCCAGTGAGAGAGGCCAGAGAGAGAGAGGCCAGAGAGAGAGAGACCAGAGAGAGAGAAGCCAGTGAAAGACCAGAGAGAGAGGCGCCAGAGAGAGAGGCCAGAGAGAGAGGCCAGTGAGAGACCAGAGAGAGAGGCAAGAGAGAGAGGCCAGAGAGAGAGGCGCCAGAGAGAGAGGCCAGAGAGAGAGGCCAGTGAGAGACAAGAGAGAGACCAGAGAGGGAGGCAAGAGAGAGAGGCCAGAGAGAGAGGTCAGAGAGAGAGAGACCAGAGAGAGAGAAGCCAGAGAGAGAGAAGCCAGAGAGAGAGAGGCCAGTGAGAGACCAGAGAGAGAGACCAGAGAGGGAGGCAAGAGAGAGAGGCCAGAGAGAGAGGCGCCGGAGAGAGAGGCCAGAGAGAGAGGCCAGAGAGAGAGGCCAGTGAGAGACAAGAGAGAGAGACCAGAGAGGGAGGCAAGAGAAAGAGGCCAGAGAGAGAGGCCAGTGAGAGACCAGAGAGAGAGGCCAGAGAGAGAGGCCAGAGAGAGAGGCCAGAGAGAGAGGCGCCGGAGAGAGAGGCCAGAGAGAGAGGCCAGAGAGAGAGGCCAGTGAGAGACAAGAGAGAGAGACCAGAGAGGGAGGCAAGAGAAAGAGGCCAGAGAGAGAGGCCAGTGAGAGACCAGAGAGAGAGGCCAGAGAGAGAGGCCAGAGAGAGAGGCCAGAGAGAGAGGCCAGAGAGAGAGGCCAGTGAGAGACCAGAGAGAGGCCAGAGAGAGAGACCAGAGAGAGAGACCAGAGAGAGACCAGAGAGAGAGACCAGAGAGGGAGGCAAGAAAGAGAGGCCAGAGAGAGAGGCCAGTGAGAGACCAGAGAGAGATACCAGAGAGAGAGGGACCGGAAAGAGAGGCCAGAGAGAGAGGCCAGAGAGAGAGGCCAGAGAGAGAAGGACCGGAAAGAGAGGCCAGAGAGAGAGGCCAGAGAGAGAGGGGCCAGAGAGAGAGAGACCAGAGAGAGAGAGAGACCAGAGAGAGAGAGAGAGGCCAGAGAGAGAGGGGCCAGAGAGAGAGAGACCAGAGAGAGAGAGACCAGAGAGAGAGGCGCCAGAGAGAGACCAGAGAGAGGCCAGAGAGAGGCCATATGAGAAAGGCAGGTGTGCAGGCGCAGAAACACACCCATCCTTATAAACACACACATAAATACATCATTATAAAAGTTACTAACAAAAGTGCACATGACAGATCTGCACCTTTCATTTTGCTTCCATTCACCAGCTGTTGTTATTGTAGTTATGCTATATATCCACATTACTCGTCTGTACCTCAGTCCATACAGATGCTAAATAACATCGGTGATTGTGCAATAGTGTCAATGTGAATGCGTGTATTGTCTGTGTTTTACGATATAATAAATTAATCTGATCTGAATCTGATGAATCTGAATCTGACTAACAAGAAAAAAACTGAAAAATAGTGTAGCTATAATATATTCATTTCCTCAGGACATTGCTTTAGGGTTGTGAGACTCAGGACAAACCGCTTCGAGCTCTCCTTTGTCCCAACTTCAGTGCCACAAAAATAACTAATAATGAATACATTCTAAAACTGTAGGAACTTTTTCATTTTTTTTATCCAGGACCTATTATTTATTTTGATGCAGAATTGGACCAAACAGAAACTTTAAAGCACTGCTGCACTTTCCTGTTTATGTTTTTTATCCGTACTATTCCTTCATGCAGATCTGTGAAGCAAATGTCCCTGAGACACAAAAGTTTATTGTATCTTAATTAACAGCCACAGATAAAAGAAATGAAGCTGTTTTTCTCTCTGGTCTCTCTCTCTCTCTGGTCTCTGGTCTCTCTGGTCTCTCTCTCTCTGGTCTCTCTCTCTCTGGTCTCTCTCTCTCTGGTCTCTCTCTCTCTCTGGTCTCTCTCTCTCTGGTCTCTCTCTCTCTGGTCTCTCTCTCTCTGGTCTCTCTCTCTGGTCTCTCTCTCTGGTCTCTCCCTCTGGTCTCTCCCTCTGGTCTCTCCCTCTGGTCTCTCCCTCTGGTCTCTCCCTCTGGTCTCTCCCTCTGGTCTCTCCCTCTGGTCTCTCCCTCTGGTCTCTCCCTCTGGTCTCTCTCTCTGGTCTCTCCCTCTGGTCTCTCCCTCTGGTCTCTCCCTCTGGTCTCTCCCTCTGGTCTCTCCCTCTGGTCTCTCCCTCTGGTCTCTCCCTCTGGTCTCTCCCTCTGGTCTCTCCCTCTGGTCTCTCCTTCTGGTCTCCTTGGATAACAACAGTTGTGTGGACGTACTACGTGGCTTTGGCGCTACCCTGGACACTGACGGGCAGCAGAGGGATCCAGGTCCCGCGGTACTCGAACGCAGCCTGAGTGTTGAGGTTTCCACTGGAGCCTCCTCCTCCGGGTCCTCCCTGAACCGAGCCCTGAGGACCCAGGCCGGACCCGCCTACAGACACACATGTACAAAGAAGTTTATATACAACTATACAGACACATACACACACACACACGCGCGCACAAACCAGGTCAAATACAATTATATACACACACATCAAGCCAATTCATTTACAATCACACACACACACACACGTACAAACCAGTACGTGTGTGTGTTTGTGTGTATGTGTCGGGTTAAAGCTGAGGAAAATAAATTTATGTTTATTCTTGAATAATATGTTTTCTTAGTCCCGAGTCTTTTAAAAGTCTTAATAGAAAATATAGCATCTTTTGCATTCTTGTAAGAAAGAGTGAGCTGAGTGAGGGTGGTCATCTCGGAGTAGAGCCGCTGCTCCTCTAAGTGTAGAAGGGCCAGCGGAGGTGGCTCTGGGGTCTGTCTGGGATACTTCCTAGACGCCTCTCTGTGGAGGTGTTTTGGACATGTCCCACCAGGAAGAGACCAGGGGCAGACCCAGGACACAGACGGACTGCGTCTCTCTGTGGACTGGGAACGCCTCAGGATTCCCCCAGATGAGCTGGAGGAGGACGTGTATGTGGAGAGGGAAGTCTGTGTCTCTGCTTAGACTGCTGGCCCCGCAACCCGGCAACGGATTAATTGGAAGAAAATGGACGGATAATGCATCAAACTTAAATAGCTAATATTATTCTTTCATTTTTCTCTTATTAGCGAGTCACAGGCACAGGATCAAAAGCTAAATGTTTTTTTGTATAAGAAAGTTAGCCTCAGCTTCAAGTACAAAGTGAGTTTGTTTGTTGGATTCATTTTCCCCTGACCGTTTTAAAAGAAAGAGTAAACATGAAACCCGTCTGACCTGCTGCTGCGTTGACGGCCGCCGTGTTTCCTGCGTTGGGGACGATGAAGAGCGACTGGATGAAGGAGCCCAGGGCGTTCACGATGTCACGGAACACTTTGGTGGAGTGCTGCTTCATGTCGTACGACTGACAGAAAGACCTGCACCAGAGAAACACACACCTCTCAGTTCATGGATCAGCAACAACACAAGAGTATGTACTTGGGACTCTTGCGCATGTATTCCAATGGGGTTTTACTGCACATGGCTCACAGGGATTAAAAACAATGTAGGGTGAGGCATTAGCTGCTCTTCTCAATACTAGAGCTGTGAAATACTCATTTAAACTTTCAACTGAGTCTTCCTCAGTCAGAAGGAACAGGCAAACCCCAAAGATGTTTATTGAGATTTCAGATTTATGCAGCCACAATCTGGAACTGGTATTTGTTTTGTTATGTTGCATAGACACACACACAAATAGGAACTACAATACAAACAGGTGCATCATGGGAAATGCAGTGTCGGACTTTTAACAAGGGTCATTCTCAAACCAACATGGTGAAACGTATACAAAACGTGGTGTATTAGGAACCACTAAACAATCTCTAAATAATCTCGGGCCTGGGTCTAATGCGAGTGAGAAATGATGGCTTTGGTGATTTTCTAACCGTAATAAATGCGGCTGCACACAGAGCCGGTGCACAGACTCCACAGCCACGGCCCGGAGCCACTGGGGCTTCTCTCCGTCCAGAAACTTCACCAAGAGAGACAAGAAGATCTCACACTCTGTCACCTGCAAATCCATTCACACACAGTGGGTCAGGAATGAGGAGAGAAAACACCTGGACATCCTTATAATAAAAACTAAAAGGTCTGTGAGGGTAGAGAATAGATACAAAACAGAAACATTGGGTATATGTTTTACTTATTGATTGACTGCGGAACCTTCCGCAGTCAACCATTGGTTTTGTATTTCTTTATTCCGTCATTTTTTTTGACACGTTTCACAGCTTTCACATTTTCAACAATTTCCACAAGTTATACATCAAAACGTTCCACATGTTTGGGAGATTATTGCTATTACTTTTGGGACTTCAGCGATTTCCGGTTTTTCCGCAATCGGACAAAAATCTGCATTGAGAATTCTGCAATGCATTTTAATAGGCCCATGCATTTTAATAGGACTTCAGCTCTTTCAGACATTTCTACAGTTTCAATGATTCAACAGTTTCAAGGATTCAACAGTTTCAAGGATTTCAGCAGTTTCAAGATTTCAAGAGTTTCAAGGACTTCAACAGTTTCAAGGACTTCAGCAGTTTCAAGGACTTCAGCAGTTTCAAGGACTTCAGCAGTTTCAAGGACTTCAGTGTAATCATGCAACCTAATAGGGATTTTTCCATGTAAACCAGTATAATGCAACTTAATAGGGATTTTTCCATGTAAACCAGTATAATGCAACTTAATAGGGTTTTTTCATGTAAACCAGTATAATGCAACTTAATAGGGTTTTTTTTCATGTAAACCAGTATAATGCAACTTAATAGGGTTTTTTCATGTAAACCAGTATAATGCAACTTAATAGGGTTTTTTTTCATGTAAACCAGTATAATGCAACTTAATGGGGATTTTTCCATGTAAACCAGTATAATGCAACTTAATAGGGTTTTTTCCATGTAAACCAGTATAATGCAACTTAATAGGGTTTTTTCCATGTAAACCAGTATAATGCAACTTAATAGGGTTTTTTCCATGTAAACCAGTACAATGCAACTTAATAGGGATTTTTCCATGTAAACCAGTATAATGCAACTTAATAGGGTTTTTTACATGTAAACCAGTATAATGCAACTTAATGGGGATTTTTCCATGTAAACCAGTATTATGCAACTTAATAGGGATTTTTCCATGTAAACCAGTATAATGCAACTTAATAGGGATTTTTCCTTGTAAACCAGTATAATGCAACTTAATAGGGTTTTTTTCATGTAAACCAGTATAATGCAACTTAATGGGGATTTTTCCATGTAAACCAGTATTATGCAACTTAATAGGGATTTTTCCATGTAAACCAGTATAATGCAACTTAATAGGGTTTTTACATGTAAACCAGTATAATGGAACTTAATAGGGGTTTTTACATGTAAACCAGTATAATGGAACTTAATAGGGGTTTTTACATGTAAACCAGTATAATGCAACTTAATAAGGATTTTTACATGTAAACCACTATAATGTAACCTAATAGGGGTTTTTACATGTAAACCAGTATAAAGCAACTTAATAGGGATTTGTACATGTAAACCAGTATAATGCAACCTAATAGGGATTTTTCCATGTAAACCAGTATAATGCAACTTAATAGAGATTTTTCCATGTAAACCAGTATAATGCAACTTAATAGGGATTTTTCCATGTAAACCAGTATAATGCAACCTAATAGGGATTTTTCCATGTAAACCAGTATAATGCAACCTAATAGGGATTTTTCCATGTAAACCAGTATAATGCAACCTAATAGGGATTTTTCCATGTAAACCAGTATAATGCAACCTAATAGGTTGCATTATACCACCAGACCAAGACCCAAACGAAGACTCAGACCACCACCAGATAATGACCACAGACCAGGTTTCCTTAGTTACAGGAACCAAATTGTTTCAGCGGTGAGGGGATTTTTCAGTTTCAAGGACACTTTCAATACATTCAGTAGTTTCAAGGATTTCAACTGTTTAAGAATTTAACCAGTTTCAAGGATATCAGGAGGTTCAAGGATTTCAGGAGTTTCCACACTTTCAACAGTTTCCAGGTTTAAAAAAAGTTTCAAGGATTTCAGGAGTTTCAATGTTTCAACAGTTTCAAGGATTTCAGGAGTTTAAAGGTTTCAACAATTTCAAGGACTTCAGGAGTTTCAAATATCTATCAAGTATTTTAACAGTTTCAAGGCCTTTTAAAGGATTTCAAGGATTTTTTTTAGCAGATTTCCACATTAGATCTGTTCCGCAGTCAATCGCAATGGCTTCAGCCATTGCAAGTTTCTAGTTCTATTTGTCTATTGTTATTATTTTTGTAATCTCTGTGCAGCACTTTGGAAACTTTCATATAAAATGTGCTTTACAAATGATGAGATTGGGAAACAGCAAAACAATGTTTGCCATCGACATGAAGGCTCTACATTTACGATACTGCTGTTTTGTCTAAAGTTTTACAATTGATTAAAGCTGGGGTACGTAACATCTAAAGCACAACAATGGGACTATCTTTGAAATCCATGTCACTAGTTTCTGACTCGCTTCTGTCACTGGTTCTCACGTTTGTAAACAGTTTTTTGGGATCTGTCACACATTTTTACAATTAGACAAAACTGGTGAATGTAATGAAAACCGAAAAACTGATGCAAGTTTACAGTGAGTTGCTATGGTAACAAGCAACTAGTAACTCTTCTCTGGTGGAAAACTGAACTGACTCGACTCAGAACCAGAACCGGTGCGAGACCGGGTCAGTCCAGGACCAGTCCAAGACCAGTCCAGGACCAGTCCAGGACTGGTCTCTCGCTCTCTGGTCTCTCGCTCTCTGGTCTCTCGCTCTCTGGTCTCTCGCTCTCTGGTCTCTCGCTCTCTGGTCTCTCACTCTCTGGTCTCTCACTCTCTGATCTCTCACTCTCTGGTCTCTCACTCTCTGGTCTCTCACTCTCTGGTCTCTCACTCTCTGGTCTCTCACTCTCTGGTCTCTCACTCTCTGGTCTCTCACTCTCTGGTCTCTCACTCTCTGGTCTCTCACTCTCTGGTCTCTCACTCTCTGGTCTCTCGCTCTCTAGTCTCTCGCTCTCTCACTCTCTGGTCTCTCACTCTCTGGTCTCTCACTCTCTGGTCTCTCTCCTTCAGGCCTCTCTCTCTCTCTGGCCTCTCTCTCTATGATCTCTGTCTCTGGTCTCTCTCTATGGCCTCTCTCTCTTGTCTCTCTCTCTTGTCTCTCTCTCTTGTCTCTCTCTCTGGTCTCTCTCTCTCTGGTCTCTCTCTCTCTGGTCTCTCTCTCTCTGGTCTCTCTCTCTCTGGTCTCTCTCTCTGGTCTCTCTCTCTGGTCTCTCTCTCTTGTCTCTCTCTCTTGTCTCTCTCTCTCTGGTCTCTCTCTCTCTGGTCTCTCTCTCTGGTCTCTCTCTCTGGCCTCTCTCTCTAGCCTCTCTCTCTGGTGAGTCAGGTATCCCAGCTTTACTCGGCCATAATAAGTATCAGACGCACACTCAGACTGAAGCAAAGGAACCAAGACAGTGAACTTCACATGACACCAGAAAAGCTCTCTGTATTTGAACGTTTTGAACATAAAAATAGACACGTTTTCATTTGAATGGATTTATAATGAAAGGAGCAGATGAAAAAGTGAATTAGTGAGTCAGAGCTAATCTGCTGAAGAGCCTGCAGCAGAACTGAAACAAAACGGAGGCACTAATCCAGTCAGAGATCAATTAGCAGCATCTGTGCAGCGCGCGGCAAATCCTTTAATGGCTGCAGTTCATCAGATTAATATGAAACAACATGTGTTTCTCTGTCACAGTCTGTACAGCTGTGTTAGCTACAGCTGCAAAGAACAGACCGCTGTTATGGTCTCTCTCTCTCTCTCTAGGGTCTTCCTCTCTCTGGGGTCTCGCTCTCTCTGTAGTCTCTCGCTCTCTCTGTAGTCTCTCGCTCTCTCTGTAGTCTCTCACTCTCTGTAGTCTCTCACTCTCTGTAGTCTCTCACTCTCTGTAGTTTCTCACTCTCTGTAGTCTCTCACTCTCTGTAGTCTCTCACTCTCTGTAGTTTCTCACTCTCTGTAGTTTCTCACTCTCTGTAGTCTCTCACTCTCTGTAGTCTCTCACTCTCTGTAGTCTCTCACTCTCTGTAGTCTCTCACTCTCTGTAGTCTCTCACTCTCTGTAGTCTCTCACTCTCTGTAGTCTCTCACTCTCTGTAGTCTCTCACTCTCTGTAGTCTCACTCTCTGTAGTCTCACTCTCTGTAGTCTCACTCTCTGTAGTCTCACTCTCTGTAGTCTCACTCTCTGTAGTCTCACTCACTGTAGTCTCACTCTCTGTAGTCTCACTCTCTGTAGTCTCACTCTCTGTAGTCTCACTCTCTGTAGTCTCACTCTCTGTAGTCTCACTCTCTGTAGTCTCACTCTCTGTAGTCTCGCTCTCTATGTAGTCTCACTCTCTCTGTAGTCTCTCTCTCTCTGTAGTCTTGCTCACTCTGTAGTCTCGCTCACTCTGTAGTCTCACTCTCTGTAGCCTCTCTCTCTGTAGTCTGACTCTCTCTGTAGTCTCACTCTCTCTGTAGTCTCACTCTCTCTGTAGTCTCACTCTCTCTGTAGTCTCACTATCTCTGTAGTCTCACTCTCTCTGTAGTCTCACTCTCTCTGTAGTCTCGCTCTCTCTGTAGTCTCGCTCTCTCTGTAGTCTCGCTCTCTCTGTAGTCTCACTCTCTCTGTAGTCTCACTCTCTCTGTAGTCTCAAGCTCACCGCACACCGAAACGCAGCGCCTCGCGGCGCGTCATTTGACGCGCGTTCATGACATGTGTCAAATTACACCGGAACGCCTTGGCTAGCGTCCTTTTCCAGCTGATCGCAGATGAAATGGGTGAGTGACGTTTGGAAGTTTCTACTAATATTTTGGGGGAGGAAACAAAGTATTTACGTGAAATTATGCTGGCAAATATTACAAGAAAAGACTATTTGGACCCATTTTTTAAACAGGCTAATAACTAGCTCTGGGTAACGCTGTACTTGGGTTATCAAGCTTTCCTCGTCCATTGTGACCGGTTTACTTGAGCAATAGCGCCGACAAGTGTGTAAATTTGAGACCGCGCTCACAGCTACGTGATAAGAAGCGCAGAAGAAGAAAACTACGGGTGCTTGGAGGGACAGTTTCAGCCGCGGCGCCGCGTCTGGATTCAACAAAACTGAATCGTGGCGCCCGGTCCAGCGTCGCCGCGCGTCACTGCAACCTTGGTGTGCATTCTCTCATAGAAAATAAAGGAGGCGGCTCTTTTGCCGCGCGTCAAGGCGTTTCGGTGTGCGTTGGGCTTAACTCTCTCTGTAGTCTCACTCTCTCTGTAGTCTCACTCTCTCTAGTCTCGCTCTCTTTGTAGTCTCACTCTCTTTGTAGTCTCGCTCTCTCTGTAGTCTCTCTCTCTGTAGTCTCTCTCTCTGTAGTCTCACTCTCTGTAGTCTCACTCTCTGTAGTCTCACTCTCTGTAGTCTCACTCTCTGTAGTCTCACTCTCTGTAGTCTCACTCTCTGTAGTCTCACTCTCTGTAGTCTCACTCTCTGTAGTCTCACTCTCTGTAGTCTCGCTCTCTTTGTAGTCTCACTCTCTCTGTAGTCTCGCTCTCTTTGTAGTCTCGCTCTCTTTGTAGTCTCACTCTCTCTGTAGTCTCTCTTTCTGGGTAGTCTCGCTCTCTCTGACTTCTCTGGTCTCTCTCTCTGTAGTCTCACGCTCTCTGTAGTCTCGTTCACTCGGACTTCTATGGTCTCTCTCTGGTCTGGTCTGGTCTCTCTCTAGTCTCACACTCTCTGGTTTCTCTCTCTCTGGTCTCTCTCGCTCTGGTCTCTCTTGCTCTCTGCAGTGTTAATGGAGTGTGTCTGGTACCAGGAGGCTGTAGAAGTGTTTGATGAGCACAGAGACGACCCTCAGGAGCCTCATGCAGATGGGGAAGTAGGGTTTCTCCATGGGGGCGGGGCCGGCGGCGCTGGTGCTGCCCTGGCGAAACTTGATGTTCGGAGAAAACAGCTTTATGACCAGCGGACACACGCGCTCCTTCAGCAGGAAACTGAACTCCTGGTGCTGGAGAGGAGAAAAAAGTCTAACATCAATAACAAATATCGATCAATATTGTTCAAAAATAAAAGAAACGAATCCTTTCTCTTCTGCGTAAACCTCCATGGTGCTAATCATACAAGTGCTTCTAAATGCATCCTCCAATATTGATTTTAATATATTATTGATCACGATCTAAAGCAGGCCAATTATTATTATGTTTTTGGTATCATCACATTTCCGTGTCATATCCATGTTTAGTGATAACAAGGTCCTAACAGTAATTTATACATGTATTTTTATTCTCTCCCTCTGTGGCCTCTCCCTCTGTGGCCTCTCCCTCTGTGGCCTCTCCCTCTGTGGCCTCTCCCTCTGTGGTCTCTCCCTCTTGACTCTCTCTCCCTCTGTGGTCTCTCTATGTGGCCTCTCTTCCTCTGTGGTCTCTCTCTCTCTGGTCTCTCTCTGGTCTCTCTCCGTCTGTGGTATCTCTCTCTGGTCTCTCTCCCTCCGGCCTCTCTCCCTCCGGCCTCTCTCTCTCTGGCCTCCCTCCCTCCGGCCTCTCTCCCTCCGGCCTCCCTCCCTCCGGCCTCCCTCCCTCCGGCCTCTCTCCCTCCGGCCTCTCCCTCTGTGGCCTCTCCCTCTGTGGCCTCTCCCTCTGTGGCCTCTCCCTCTGTGGCCTCTCCCTCTGTGGCCTCTCCCTCTGTGGCCTCTCCCTCTGTGGCCTCTCCCTCTGTGGCCTCTCCCTCTGTGGCCTCTCCCTCTGTGGCCTCTCCCTCTGTGGCCTCTCCCTCTGTGACCTCTCCCTCTGTGGCCTCTCCCTCTGGACTCTCTCCCTCTGGACTCTCTCCCTCTGGACTCTCTCCCTCTGTGGTCTCTCCCTCTGGACTCTCTCCCTCTGTGGTCTCTCCCTCTGTGGTCTCTCTCTCTGGCCTCTCTCCCTCTGTGGTCTCTCTCTGGTCTCTCTCCGTCTCTCTCCGTCTGTGGTATCTCTCTCCGGCCTCTCTCCCTCCGGCCTCTCCCTCCGGCCTCTCTCCCTCTGGCCTCTCTCTCTCTGGTCTCTCTCTCTGGTCTCTCTCTCTCTCCACACTCTCTCTCTCCACACTCTCTCTCTCCACACTCTCTCTCTCCACACTCTCTCTCCACACTCTCTCTCCACACTCTCTCTCTCCACACTCTCTCTCTGGTCTAAACTCACTTCATTTCATTGTGTTAGTGTTTACCTGCAGAAACACTCCGGGGAAGTCGTTGAGCACAGACTCCAGCAGCTCCAGTCCAAACGTCCGCGTCATCTCAGTCATGCCCACCAGCCAGTAGGGGGCGTCTGCGTTCACGAGCTGGCACAGGTCCTGCAGAGGTCACAAGCAACAGAGAGAGGCTAAAACAGCGAAGGTTCACCCACATCTGTCCCCCACAAAACCACAAGATCCTCATCCAGCTCTGACCCTCCGCACTCACACTGAATCAAAGACATAGATAAGAAGAGGCGTGCCATTTTGGACTGAACCAGAGACGGTTACCATAGCTACATACAAACTAATCCACACCCTTTCAGAGATTCCACTACAGAAAAATTAGCAATTAGTGAAATTAGAGAAATTAGTAAAAAATAGTGTTATCAGTAAAAAGAGTCAAATCAATAAAATATTATTTTTTTTTTAAAGTGAAATTAGTGAAATCAGTAAGATTTAAAAAAAAAAAACAAAGTGAGATTGGTGACATTTGTAAAAAATAGTAAAAATAGTAAAAATAGTAAAAAAAATAAAAATAAATAAGTGAAATTAGTAAAAATTGTTTTGGTTTTTTTAAGTGAAATTGGTGAAATTAGTAAATATAAAAAAAATTGTGCTGTGGCTCCTTAAAGTAGTACTAGAATTTAATATGCTGCTATCCAGAATATATAACTACAATATGTGTTTATAATAATAATAATGTGGAGGCCTCACCTCCACACACAGCTTGGACTCTGGAACCCAACTCCTTGAGAGGGGTTGGACGCTCCACTTTTCTGGTGTTTCCCGCGGGGAGAGGCGGCGAGCTGGGGTGGCCATACTCATTGCCCCCCATCTCAGCCGCCACGTGTTGGAGTTCTCCCCGGTGAATGAGAGGGTCGCGTCCCTCCGCCTCCGGGTGGGGGACAAGTCTCTTACTGTTGTGACGGCCTACGGGCCTAACGGTAGTGCAGAGTACCCGGCCTTCTTGGAGTCCTTGGGAGGGGTACTGGACAGTGCACCGCCCGGGGACTCCGTTATTCTCCTGGGGGACTTCAACGCCCATGTGGGAAATGCCAGTGACACTTGGAGAGGGGTGATCGGGAAGAGCGGCCCCCCTGATCTGAACCCGAGTGGTGTTCAGTTGTTGGACTTCTGTGCCAGTCACGGCCTGTCCATCACGAACACCATGTTCGAGCACAAGGGTGTCCACCAGTGCACGTGGCACCAGGACACCCTAGGCCGGAGGTCGATGATCGACTTTGTTGTCGTATCATCTGACCTTCGACCGCGTGTCTCGGACACTCGGGTAAAGAGAGGGGCGGAGCTGTCAACCGATCATCACCTGGTCGTGAGTTGGATCCGCTGGCAGGGGAAGAAGCCGGTCAGACCTGGCAGACCCAAGCGTATAGTGAGGGTTTGCTGGGAACGTCTCGCGGAGCCCCCTGTCAGACGGACTTTCAACTCACACCTCCGGGAGAGCTTCTCCCAGGTCCCGGCGGAGGAGGGGGACATCGAGTCCGAGTGGACCATGTTCTCTTCCTCTATCGCCAATGCGGCGGCTCATAGCTGTGGTCGCAAGGTCTCTGGTGCTGGTCCCGGCGGCAATCCCCGAACCCGGTGGTGGACACCGGCAGTAAGGGATGCCGTCAGGCTGAAGAAGGAGTCCTATCGAGCAATGATGGTTCGTGGGACTCCTGAGGCAGCTGTCCAGTACCGGCAGGCCAAACGTGCCGCGGCCCGGGCTGTTGCAGAGGCAAAAACCCGGGACTGGGAGGAGTTCGGAGAGTCCATGGAGCATGACTATCGGTCGGCCTCGAAGAGGTTCTGGCAAACCGTCCGGCGCCTCAGGAGGGGGAAGCAGTTCTTTGCCAACACCGTGTATGGTGCGGGTGGAGGGCTGCTGACCTCGACTGAGGATATTGTCGGGCGGTGGAAGGAATACTTCGAGGTTCTCCTCAATCCCCCCGTCACGTCCTCCGTTCAGGAGGCAGAGGCTGAGGATGTTGGGGCGGACACTTCCATCTCCCTGGCCGAGGTCACCAAGGTGGTTGGCAGCCTCCATGGTGGCAAGGCGCCGGGAGTGGATGAGATCCGTCCTGACTATCTAAAGTCTCTGGATGTTGTAGGACTGTCTTGGCTGACACGTCTCTGCAACATCGCGTGGCGATCGGGGGCGGTGCCAATGGAGTGGCAGACCGGGGTGGTGGTCCCTCTCTACAAGAAGGGGGACCGGAGGGTGTGTTCCAATTATCGTGGGATCACACTCCTCAGCCTCCCCGGTAAGGTCTACTCCAAGGTACTGGAGAGGAGGCTACGCCCGATGGTCGAATCTCGGATTCAGGAGGAGCAGTGTGGTTTTCGTCCCGGTCGCGGAACACTGGACCAGCTCTATACTCTCCATCGGATACTCGAGGGTTCATGGGAGTTCGCCCAACCTGTCCACATGTGCTTTGTGGATTTGGAGAAGGCGTTCGACCGTGTTCCCCGGGGTGTCCTTTGGGGGGTCCTCCGGGAGTACGGGGTCCGGGGTCCTCTGCTGAGGGCCGTCTGGTCCCTGTATGACCGGAGTCAGAGCTGTGTTCGCATTGCCGGCAGTAAGTCAGACCTGTTCCCGGTGCATGTTGGCCTCCGCCAAGGCTGCCCTTTGTCACCGGTTCTGTTCACTGTATTTATGGACAGAATTTCTAGGCGCAGCCAGGGCCGGAGGGGTCCGGTTCGGGAACCACAGGATTTCATCTCTACTTTTTGCGGATGATGTCGTCCTGTTGGCTCCAACGAACCAGGACCTGCAGCATGCACTGGGACGGTTTGCAGCCGAGTGCGAAGCGGCTGGGATGAGAATCAGCACCTCCAAATCCGAGGCCATGGTGCTCGACCGGAAAAAGGTGCCTTGCCCTCTCCAGGTGGGTGGAGAGGTCCTTACTCAAGTGGAGGAGTTCAAGTATCTCGGGGTCTTGTTCACGAGTGAGGGAAGAATGGAGCGTGAGATTGACAGGCGGATCGGTGCAGCGTGCGCAGTGATGCGGTCTCTGTATCGGACCGTTGTGGTAAAGAGGGAGCTGAGCCGAAAGGCGAAGCTCTCGATTTACCGGTCAATCTTCGTTCCCTCCCTCACCTATGGTCATGAGCTTTGGGTAATGACCGAAAGAACGAGATCGCGGATACAAGCGGTTGAAATGAGCTTCCTCCGCAGAGTGGCTGGGCGCTCCCTTAGAGATAGGGTGAGGAGCTCAGTCACACGGGAGGAGCTCGGAGTAGAGCCGCTGCTTCTCCACGTCGAGAGGAACCAGTTGAGGTGGCTCGGGCATCTGTTCAGGATGCCTCCTGGACGCCTCCCTGGGGAGGTGTTCCGGGCACGTCCCACCGGGAGGAGGCCCCGGGGAAGACCCAGGACACGCTGGAGGGACTATGTCTCTCAGCTGGCCTGGGAACGCCTTGGGGTCCCCCCGGACGAGCTGGAGGAGGTGTGTGTGGATAGGGAAGTCTGGGCGTCTCTGTTTAGACTGCTGCCCCCGCGACCCGGCAACGGATAAAGCGGAAGAAAATGGATGGATGGATGGGTGTTCATTTTGATATGTTCAGATGAATTATGTTAAATAAAAAGGCTTTGAAATCGGACCTTTTCACAAACGCTAGGGGGCGCCAAAATGGCGGCGATGACGTAGGAGAATGACCTCTCACAGCAGCAGCAGCAGTCTGGGCTGAATCTGTAGGAGGTTTCACTGTCATCTGAACAAGGTATAAACATATTTACATCAGTTTTGTACATAATAGTGTGCAACTCTTTTAACCTTTTAGCTTTGGTTGCCTTAGATTTATTTACCACAATGTACATTGTAATATCCATAAATGCTAATCAAAATAACTTGAATTAAATAAATATTTTACTTTTATGAACAAAAAGCTGCAGAAGTTGAAAACATAGACTACATGTGATGCATTTTTGAATATTACAATGTACATTGTGGTAAATAAATCTAAGGCAACCAAAGTGAGACTGGCATAATGTAAAAACGAATATTAGCCTTGTTAGCATGTTTTATGATATCAAGTAGAGTTAGCTAACTTGCCCAACACTAGTTTGCTTGAATCTCACAAATAAGGCTAAAAGGTTAAAAGAGTTGCACACTATTATGTACAAAACGGATGAAAATATGTTTAGACCTTGTTCAGATGACAGTGAAACCTCCTACAGTTTCAGCCCAGACTGCTGTCCTCTCCTGTGAGATGCCCTTCTGCTACGTCATCGCCGCCATTTTGGCCCCCCCTAGCCTTTCTATGCGGAAGTGAAAAGGTGCCACTTCAAAGCAGTTTTTATTAACATAATTCATCTGAACATGTCAAAATGAACACCCGAAATATTATAAACACATATTGTAGTTATATATTCTGGATAGCAGCATATTAAATTCTAGTACTACTTTAAAGATATATCCAGGAGTCTCGATGCAAACGGAGCAGAGTTTATTGAAGCCGAGTTGCGTTTCTTGAGACTAAACTAAAGTTGATTCCATGTTTATGAACACAGTGTTACAGCTCCAGTGTGTGCGGAGTCACACAAAACCCGGGTTCCTTTTCTAACTGTGAGTGAATAAATGTCTTACAGCTTTGTGCTCTGACAAAAGTGTTTCATAAAAACAGATCCATAAGCATTACTTTGAGGCGCATTATTCAACCAGTTTTAGTTTAAAACTAAATATAAGTTATGTCGTATATAATATGTTGACTTATAAACCGAATAATGGACTAAACAAAATGAAAGCTCACAGCCTTAACCCGACCCAAAGTGTGTATAATCACCATAATCACCATTTTAGCATGTGGCCATTACAAGAGCAGTACATGTTAGATGGATTACAAATGTTCTTTAACCAACACGATCCAAACTATCAGAGCCACAGCGTGATGAAAACAGCATGTGTGTCGTGGAGCAGGTGAAGTGGACAGACACAAAGAGAAGGCTGCCTCCTGGTGGCCGTACCTGGAACAGCATGTATGCGTCCTTAGCACTGGGCCTGAGAGTGCTGACAGAGCGACGGTTGGAGTTTCCCTGGACCGGAGGAGGCTGCTCCATGATGCCTACGAGAAAACACAGATTACAGACAGAGAAGTCAGTAAGTCTCCTTTTAATAACTCGAAAGTTTGAAAAATGTCTGTGGTAAGATTAGGAAGTTATTTCAGACAATTTCTACTCTATTTATATTGTATTCTTTGATTGTCACAGTCAAGGTCAAAATACACTGATACAATTGTTCCTCATGGACAAAGTATTTTACTGTAAAAAAGTTGCTGTCTCTGAGGTGTTTGGGAATCAGTCCAGTTAAAACCTCAAAAGCACAAACTTGGAGCTAAATCCATCTCGCTAGATCCGCTTTTTCAGACATTAATGTGAAACGAAAGGATCCTGATCATCCGGCCAATCAGCTCTAACAATAATGCATTTTATATTCATATTGTTGTATATAGAGATTTTCTGGACACTCAAAGACACTTCACGTAATTACTCATTTACTCCATACACTGTGAAGATGAACTACTACTGAAGGCGCTACAGGTCCTTTTCTTGTAAATCAGTATGTCTTAAAAACAAAGCTTCTTTCCCACCGCCATTCGGTCGCTCAACCAATCCCTGATGTGAAACGTCCCTGTTGATGTGAATGTCTTTGTTTTTGTATATAAGCGTTGAGCTGAGCATTCCTGCGGGACCAGAAACAAAACACACAGACTTGTTGATTCTGATTCTGAAATGTAAAAAGTTAATTATGTTTTATGTTTAAGGCTTAGAACGTTCGTTTAATGAGACAAACATTTAAAAGAGCTAGTATTGCTTAAATAACATATGTTTCAGCGGTAGAGGAGACACGTGACAGATCTGTTAGAAGCAGGACTAGCTTCATAACACTTGTGACTTTTGTCTACTACTCTAGCCACAGCTGCCCTGGGACACGTCAACAGAAAGCCAACCAGTCTGTGCCATCAGCCTCCCCAACCACCAACCATTCACACACACATCACACTCACTCTAAACCAGGCATGTCCAAACTCAGGCCCGCGGGTCAATCTGTGGCATTTCATGTGGCTCTCTGCTGCTAACACAAAGTCGCCATTGAGGCACTTTGACAGTATCATCCAACCAACTTCAGCTTCACCAACACAGTCATGCTATACCTTGTTGTAAATCTCAGACCCTCTGGAATCCAGTCGTTGTTATTTACTGGCATTTGTTTATGATTGTGTCACAACATTCCAAATAAAATGCAGCTGTGGTGTCAATAAAGACGCATCATAACACATTTGAAATTCCAGAATTCAATCCATCCAGCTCAAAGACGGTTTTTTAAGTTCAGGTCAAGTCTGATGAACTAAAGCGGCCGTCTTACTAAAAAGTTTGGACACCCCCTAAAGTGTCTAACACATTTCAGAAACACAAGAATTTGAGTCGGGTGCGTATGTATAATCCACAAATGGTTCACTTCTTATTTAACAGACAGATCCTTCATGGTAAGTTTGGATACCTGCTCCTCTCAGGTCCATAAAATCACATGTGGTGTGCCCCAGGGTTCCATTTTAGGTCCAGTCCTTTTTAACCTGTACATGCTCCCTCTTGTCGGTGTCATCAGGAGACATGGAATTAACTTCCACAGTTATGCAGATGATACACAGCTGTACATCTCCATGTCTCCTGATGACACCAGGCCAATGGATGCTCTTTTTAACTGCATTTTAGACCTGAAATCCTGGATGGCAGAAACTTTCTCCAGCTTAACCAGGACAAAACTGAGGTTTTAGTCATCGGTCCTGAGGCCCAGAGAGAGAAACTTTTACCAAAACTCCAATCACACTCTTTTAATCCATCATCACACGTGAAAAATCTGGGCGTAATCTTTGACTCTGAGCTGACTTTTATTCCTCACATTAAGAATATAACAAAAATAGGTTTTTATCATTTGAAGAACATTGCCAGAGTCCGCCCCATTCTCTCTCGGGCCAACACGGAGACGCTGATGGTTTTATCACCAGTCGCATTGACTATTGTAATGCCCTGCTCTCTGGTCTTCCCAAAAAGAACATTGCAAGTCTTCAATTACTCCAAAACTCAGCCGCACGTGTCCTGACTAAGACCAGGGGGCGTGTCCTGACTAAGACCAGGGGGCGGGACCACATTACGCCGGTTTTAAAATCGCTGCATTGGCTCCCCGTGTGTTTCAGGATCGATTTTAAGGTTCTCCTAATGGTTTTCAAATGTCTTAATGGTCTTGGGCCTTCTTATCTTTCAGATTTGCTTTTATCCTATGAGCCTTCCCGGCCCCTGCGCTCCTCCGGCAGCAGACTTCTAACCATCCCCAAAGTCAGGACACACACTCACGGCGAGGCATCTTTCCAGCACTACGGCCCCCGTCTCTGGAACAGTCTGAGGAGGAGCTCAGGGCCGCAGAGAACGTTCATATTTTTAAGAGTAGGCTCAAGACGCACCTTTTTAGATTAGCTTTTGATTAGTATTTATTAGTCCATTTTTATATATTCTATTTATCTTTTATTATTTATTATATTGCTATTGCTTTTATTCATGTTTTGTGTGATAGTTCCTTTCAGGATTACATTTTAGTGTTTTACTTATTGTATTGTTTTTAGTATCCCCAGTGTTTCCTCTGGAGGAGCCCTCTGCGCTGGGAGCGGTGGTTGGCTGTGGCTGTGGGGGTCGGACTCTTGGACCTGGTGGGGGCCCGGGGCCTCGGTTTTGGGTCTCCTCTGGGTCCTGTGTCGTCCCCTTTGGCTATGGGCGGCTCTCTGCTCCTGGCGCTGACGGCTCCTTGGATGGAGTTTCTTCAGCCGGTTGCATCTGAACCCTGCCAAGTCTCTTATCATCGTTTTATTATTTTATCGGTGTGTGTGTGTGTGCGTGTGTGTGTGGGGGGGGGGGGGGGGGGGTGTTTGCTTGTGGTCTGGGGAGGGTCTGTTGGGCGGTCGGGGGGAGGGCATGGGCAGGATTGTTTTTTTAGCCAAACTGTAAAGCACTTTGTGTTGCATCTGTTGTATGAAAAGCGCTTTATAAATAAACTTTGATTGATTGATTGATTGATTGATAATGGAACAATCTCTTCAGACCGATGGAGACTTTTTGTGCTACTTATAAATAGACAAAGACTGTACTATTCCTTTTACCTTCACAGAGAACACCGAGCGGTAGATTCTGACCTTTGAACCTTTCGTCCTCCGCCACCATGCGCTCGAACACCACCGTGACAACCTGCCGCACTGTGGCGGCCGCAGTGTTGTTCGTGATGTTGTCTTTGGTGAAGTGCAGCCGGAAACACAGCACGATGGCCTGAGGGGGATTCAGATTCAGTTTTTTTGCCATTTGCAGTAAAACCCCATTGGAATACATGTGCAATAGTCTCCAGTGTGCGCCGGACAAATAAAAAACAAACTTAAAAAGAACTAGAAACACTCGTCTGTGAAACTAATCAACAAAATGTTGATTAGTTATTATGTCCAGATGTCATGCATCATAGCCAACGATATCTTCTGTCAGAAGGCCTCTGGCCTCTCTGGTCTCTCTCTGGTCTCTCTCTGGTCTCTCTCTGGTCTCTCTCTGGTCTCTCTCTGGTCTCTCTCTGGTCTCTCTCTGGTCTCTCTCTGGTCTCTCTCTGGTCTCTCTCTGGTCTCTCTCTGGTCTCTCTCTGGTCTCTCTCTGGCCTCTCTCTGGCCTCTCTCTGGCCTCTCTCTGGCCTCTCTCTGGCCTCTCTCTGGCCTCTCTCTGGCCTCTCTTCTGGCCTCTCTCTGGCCTCTCTCTGGCCTCTCTCTGGCCTCTCTCTGGCCTCTCTCTGGCCTCTCTCTGGCCTCTCTCTGGCCTCTCTCTGGCCTCTCTCTGGCCTCTCTCTGGCCTCTCTCTGGCCTCTCTCTGGCCTCTCTCTGGCCTCTCTCTGGCCTCTCTCTGGCCTCTCTCTGGCCTCTCTCTGGCCTCTCTCTGGCCTCTCTCTGGCCTCTCTCTGGCCTCTCTCTGGCCTCTCTCTGGCCTCTCTCTGGCCTCTCTCTGGCCTCTCTCTGGCCTCTCTCTGGCCTCTCTCTGGCCTCTCTCTGGCCTCTCTCTGGCCTCTCTCTGGCCTCTCTCTGGCCTCTCTCTGGCCTCTCTCTGGCCTCTCTCTGGCCTCTCTCTGGCCTCTCTCTGGCCTCTCTCTGGCCTCTCTCTGGTCTCTCTCTGGTCTCTCTCTGGTCTCTCTCTGGTCTCTCTCTGGTCTCTCTCTGGTCTCTCTCTGGTCTCTCTCTGGTCTCTCATCTGGTCTCTCTCTGGTCTCTCTCTGGGTCTCTCTCTGGTCTCTCTCTGGTCTCTCTCTGGTCTCTCTCTGGTCTCTGTCTGGTCTCTCTCTGGTCTCTCTCTGGTCTCTCTCTGGTCTCTCTCTGGTCTCTCTCTGGTCTTTCTCTGGTCTCTCTCTGGTCTCTCTCTGGTCTCTCTCTGGTCTCTCTCTGGTCTCTCTCTGGTCTCTCTCTGGTCTCTTAATAAAAATACTTAAACACAGTAGCTGAAGTGTCCAGTACCAATATCTTAGAGACGACCTCGTACCTTAGAGAGGACCTCGTACCTTAGAGAGGACCTCGTACCTTAGAGAGGACCTCGTACCTTAGAGAGGACCTCGTACCTTAGAGCGGACCTCGTACCTTATACTGGACCTCATACCTTAGAGCGGACCTCGTACCTTAGAGAGGACCTCGTCGTGGACCACAGTGTTGGTGGTGAGGAGCACGAGGACTGTCTGCAGAAGCTTCAGTTCTTCTAAACCGTTCTCCATGAGCTGCCACAGCATGTTGATGATGTTCCCTGCAGCGGCCTGAACACACACAAGACATGTAGCTCTGTTCACACCAGTTCTACCCTACCCTACCCCAGTCCACTCTACTCTACTGTACCCTACCCCAGTCCACTCTACTCTACTGTACCCTACCCCAGTCCACTCTACTCTACTGTACCCTACCCCAGTCCACTCTACTCTACTCTACTCTACCCCAGTCCACCATACTCTACTCTACTCTACTTTACTCTACTCTACCCCAGTCCACTCATCTCTACCCCAGTCCACCTTACTTTACTCTACTTTAGACTACCCTACCCTACTCGGCTCTACTCACAGCATGGGGTCGTTCTATCAAAAGGCACTTTAAAATTGTTTTTTTCTGTTGGGAATTAGTCTCACTCCACACAGAGATGGGAGTGAGGTTGCCGTACAGGAGTAGTAGGAGTGCCAAATAACAACACTGTCCTGAATCACTGTAACTGTGTGTGTTTAAAATAACACTGTGGACGGCAGGTTCCTCACCTCGGACACCACCTCGTGTGACATCAGTCTCTGGATCGCTGCCAGACACAACTGCGTGATCTTGGGCTCTTTGGTCCCACAACCCATGAGGAACGGCTGCACCACCTCAGAGCTGTTCTCCTTCAGAGCTGCAACACACACACACATACACACACACACACACACACACACACATACACACACACACACACATACACACACACGGACACAAACACACACACACACAAACACACAGACACACACAGGTTACAGGTTACAGGACAGAAGAGAACTCCTCGAATAACGCATGTGTTTTGACTGATAACTGCGCCACTATGCTGCAAAAGTATGTGTGGATCACATTTGGGGCTGACTTTGGCGAGTGTCACTGGACTTTCTAATCATAGAGATCTTCCTATGAAATCCGCAACAAATCTGTTCATTTGCGAGTCACATTTCACCAAAGACTGTTTACCTTGAAACTGAAATAATTAGGGCCCGATTCTGGATGGAGGACTTGCGGCCCTACGCGACAGAATTATATTTTGACTATGTACCGGCAAAAAATTAACAGTAAACTTACACACTGATTTATTGACCTCAGTCAGCGTGAGCCTACGTTACCGCACGGATCAGGGCGAGGCGGTGTATTGCTAAAATTGTTATCACTCATGTGCCTAGGATGGACTGTGAAACCTGTGTGAAATATGGGACCTTTAAAGTAGATGTCAAAGTCAAAACCATTTGTTCTACAGCGCCTCTAGTGGTGATCAGCAGTACGAATCTCCATAGTAATATCACTTATGTAGGAACAGTCCCCAGACAGCGCCCCCTGCCTGTCACTCACTAGAATATTATTATTTAACATTTCTGCAGAGTGGTCTTCCCGCTACCTACTGTGTGTGTTTGTCCAAATAGCAATTCTTTGATTCTCTGATCTGTTGTTGGCGATTCAAGAACTTCGTAAAGTCATTTGAAGTGAGCTAACCTGCCAGGATCTCTGTGTTTCTGGCGGCGATGGTCTTGATCTTCACAATCCCGGACTCCGCAGCCTGGAGGAGGCAGAGAAAGGAATTAGTATGAAGTAGGGCTGAAACAACTAATCGATTAATCGACGACTAATCGATTATTGAAATAGTCGACAACTATTTTAGTAATCGATTAATCGTTTTCTGGTTCACACGGACTCAAACAGAGCAAAAATGACATGAAAATGTAGTATTTTTGATTAAAACCGACTTTTGTTTTTATAATTTCATGAATATCTGTCAGTCTCATCCAATCAGATAGCAGAATTGGCACAAAGAGCCTGTTACAAACATTTACTTTAAGTTTACGCCATCAATACGTCCTCGAGTGTTGCCACTTTAGCTTTTTGTGATGGAAATTTTTTTTTTCTACACAATTCACAGCCAAGCGATTACTCGATTAATCGTAAAAATAATCAATAGATTAATCGATTACAAAATAATCGTTAGTTGCAGCTCTAGTATGAAGTTATAGACTAAAATATAAAAGGAAATCACAGGTAACAATGTGTCTGATGATGAGAGGGGCGGGACTAGAACAGAATTAAACAAATGGGTACCTGAAGTGTGAGCAGAGTCAGGGGCAGAGCAGCAGGTGTTAAGATCAAACAGGATCAATAGTCTGTAGTTTATGTTTGTGCGTCAGAGTTGCTTCAGTCAAAAATCACTGGTACTGTGTGTCTTTGAGCCTCTATAGGACTTGTCCCAACCTGGGAGCCTCCTCAATCCTGGATCTATAGCCTCAGTCCTGGATCTACAGCCTCAGTCCTGGATCTACAGCCTCAGTCCTGGATCTACAGCCTCAGTCCTGGATCTACAGCCTCAGTCCTGGATCTACAGCCTCAGTCCTGGATCTACAGCCTCAGTCCTGGATCTACAGCCTCAGTCCTGGATCTACAGCCTCAGTCCTGGGTCTACAGCCTCAGTCTTGGATCTACAGCCTCAGTCCTGGGTCTACAGCCTCAGTCTTGGATCTACAGCCTCAGTCCTGGGTCTACAGCCTCAGTCCTGGGTCTACAGCCTCAGTCTTGGATCTACAGCCTCAGTCCTGGGTCTACAACCTCAGTCCTGGATCTACAGCCTCAGAGAATATCATTTCTGGACAGTGGTCATCCCGTTCTCTCTGGACCAATGGCACATATGTGTTTGTTATTATTGCATTTAATTCTCTGATGTGTTGTTGAGGTATCGACAACTTTGAAAAGTCCTCAGAAACAACTGCTATTGTTTCAACAACAACAAAAGTTTAAAAAGAAAAAAACAAAGCAAAACTGAACTATTGCTGGTTAGAACTTCAGGATATGGCTTTTATCGATAAGATGAATTCAAATTGATTCAAAGGGATTCTCTGGTCGTTTGTCATTTAAGAGCAGCTTTGTGCAGAAATGGCTGAACAAGTCTTAATCAAACGCATCTGATATTTCTGATAATTGTCCAACCTTTTACACATTTGTCACAATCCTCCGCACTTCTTCACAGCTTTCTACTCTATTTATATTGTATTCTTTGATTGTCACAGTCAAGGTCAAAATACACTGAAACAATTGTTCCTTGAAAAATTCATGGACAAAGTATTTTACTGTAAAAAAGTTGCTGTCTCTGAGGTGTTTGAGAATCAGTCCAGTTAAAACCTCAAAAGCACAAACTTGGAGCTAAATCCATCTCGCTAGATCCGCTTTTTCAAACATTAATGTGAAACGAAAGGATCCTCATCATCCGGCCAATCAGCTCAAGTAATGCAGGCGATAAAATCATCCGCAAACTCAACATGGTGGTTCTATGTGATCTTAAAGCCTGTGGCACTGATGAAGCCATGGACTGCACATTTGTATTGTTGTGCGGAGTCGTTGTACAGTCTGACTCTGACTCATCCCCACAGTACCCCCCCCCCCCCCCCCCCCCCCCCCCCCCCCCCCCCCCCCCCCCCCCCCCCCCCCCCCCCCCCCCCCCCCCCCCCCCCCCCCCCCCCCCACAATAGGACGCACTTCAGACGCATCACGGATCACAGCAACAAGAAACTGGAAAATCCCAAACACCGACTCCAGCCGTTTTTTAATGTGCAACCAAAAATAAACCGGCTTCAACAGGGTCCTCACACCTCATCCTGACATAAAGCGAGGCGCGGAGCGACGCCACGAGGAAAATGTTGCTCGAAAGTGTCCTGATCTGCAGCGTGACAATTGGTGCTCGCGGGTGAGTCTATGGAGCGACAGTGGCTCAGTTGGTAGAGCATTGAGCCTGAAGGTTGTGGGTTCAAGCCCACCACAAGACTTTCTCCACCGACTCCCACTGATGTCTGCTGTCGTTGTGTCCTTGGGCAAGACACTTAACTCTGGGAACAGCAGGTGCCACAGTGGGGCGGCTGCGGCTGTAAAGTGCCAAACTGTAGTTGTGTCCTTAGGCAAGACACTTCACCCCCACATTAGAATGAGTCTGGTGTGTGTGTGAATGGTTTGGTGGTGGTGGGAGGGGCCGATGGCACAGACTGGCTGCCTCGCTTCTGTCAGCCACTGTGTATGAGTGAAAGAATATTGACATGTGAAGGTCTATGATGTCCCAAAAAGACACTATATGAAACCGTCCATCCATCCATCCTATTTTCTTGCCCTTAATCCAGTTTCTGGGTCGGTGAGGGGTGGCTACACTTCCCTCCTAAAGTTGAGGGCTGTTTGGTACTGAATCAGTCTTGTGTAGTGGTCCATTCATTAACACTGAAACTCGCACAAAGAAAGTTAATGGACAGAGAGACCAGCTGCCCAGACTGGACTTGGACTAGAGTCCGAGGAAACGCTCTGTCAGTCTCGGAAATGTGCCTCTGTCTGCTACGTTTAAACACAACACAAACTCTTACTTTGGGCTAGGGCTGGGCGATATGGCAAAAAAAAAAAACTTCCGATTTTTGTCACACCAATGATTTTCGATTTTAATCGAATTTATTTTTTTCTATATAAAAACAAACTACAACTGACAAAGAAAATAGATTTTCCTTTATGCAGGCGTTTACTCTTAACTCCCCATGGGAGCATAAGTTGTACAGGAATTAAGCCTTAAAACATGCTTGTAAACGGGAGGCCTCTGCATTGAAACAGTGAAAATGTTGCATAACAGTTTTATAATACCTTCCACTTACAATGCACTATGCACCTTCAAAAAGTCCATTGGCCGTGCGTAATAAGCTTTTTATTAGCAGCTAACATGAACATGTGGTCTAGACCAAGGGCGTAGGTTTGCGTGGGGACCATGGGGACATGTCCCCACCAATATTTGGTGAGGACTAAAAAGTCCCCACCAAAATGACATGATGTCCCGTGACCCGGATGGTCCGGGACACATGTCTTCCGTTTGTGCACACGTCGCGCCTCCTCCTCGCCTCCAGAGCAACAGCAGCAGCAGCAGCACGTGACCCGTTCCGTTCTCTGCAGTGATTGGCTATCTTCTTCAGCGCCAAACTGAAGCACTGAGCGACTGTTTAATTTTTAAAAGTTAGCCAGCGTGAAGCAAGTGCGTTGTAGCATGTGAGTAATCAGAGGAAAGTACTGTAGATCTATTACCATTCAAAGTACTTACGTTATTTCTAATCTGTCAGCGCACTGTTTAATGTTCCGAGGAGCTCACACGGCATACAGAGACAGAACAGAACTGGCTCCAATAAAGAAACAGGTTGGTTGAAAGGCTGAAAAAATACTTATTGTGCTCTTACTATCCAAAATGTATAAGTGGGTGTGTTGTGTGAATCAGGATAAACTAGGGATGAAAATATTCCACGGATCCACGATTTACAACCTTTATCTGCTGATAATGTGATTTCTGTGAAATGTGTGACAGCGGGCACTTGCTGTTATTTGCTCTAAGCACATTCAAGCGATGCACTCGAATGTGCACGTCCTGGTGCAGCTGCTGCCGCTTTGTAATGACAGCCGCGGCGCTCAGTGAAAGCACAGCTCTAACATGGTACCGAGCTCGGACCATATGCAGACAGAACCATGTTGCAAGTGCGGGTCTCCCTCGTATCTCCCCCGTTTCTCCCCTGTGTCTCTGACATGTCTCTCCCCTGACTCTTCCCAAAGCGCAACCAGCGCTCCCGAAATTAAAGCTCGGATACCTAAATTTTCCATTGCGTTAACGATGCATGCTGGTTGTGCGCAAAACACACCACAACAGGTCATTTAAGTTTTTATTTTGCATACTTGAGAGCCCTGTGAGTCATTACTTGCCTTTTTGGGTTGAGAGTGGAATAAAAAAAAGAAAATATAGAAAAATCGACACTGTTACTTATTGCCAAACTCTTGTTAACTCATTGTATTGAGAAATACTATGTAACTTTTGACATTGGCCAAGTTATATAAATGATTCTGCAGTTCATGTATATGAATGTCTGTTTTTGATTGTCTATACCTTCTTATATAATTTAGAAAAAAAGCCACCTCCACAAAAAAAGATAAAAGATATCAGGAGCTTTTTTAACAGTTGGAAAGTAAGTAAGAGAAAGCACAAGTAATAGCAAATTATGAATTGTGATGATTAATCTTCTGTTAACATACATAGGAAACTCAACCACCAAGAGAGAACAATATAGGGAATGTTGAGGTAGAAGCAACAGGCCCTTCAGTGCATCAGGCGAGGTTGGAATTTGGTAGGTATGCATGGGACTATGAATTGTTTTTAGAGATTGATCGTATATGTCAAACAATGTAGTGAGCTACTCACTGTAGATTCTAATTCAATATTTTCTCCTCTGTTTTTATTTATTATAGGAAATAGATCAGAGCATGATTTATTTCAAGAATTGAGAGCAGTTCCTGAACTGTTAGAGCCTCAGGTGTGGGCTATTATGTAGATTTGGATTAGGTTTAAGTCAGTATAGAATGAACGCAACACAAAACTCAGAAGCTCTGATCCAATTGATTTTGTTTTAATCATTAGAAAAAAATCCTTAACTGCTTCTCATTCAGTCTACAGCTGAGTTTAGTATAGAAGGCAACACACTATTGCAAATATAGTGTGTGATTACGCAACAAATTCTGGGGGAGAAACTCTGGACCCCGTGTCAATGGGTGTAGACTCAGGTCGTAGTGAATGTCCCCACCAAGATTGGAACCAAACCTACACCATTGGTCTAGACTGCCGTCAGGCATGAACCCCCGCCCCCGGGTAACTCAACCCTGACACCTACTGTTCACTCCCGGTAACTGGGGTAAGGTAAGCAATAAGGACAATCTAAATGTGACACTTATTATAACATTGTCTACAGCCCCGGTGGTCGTTCATGTCGATACTTTCTGAAACTTGATTGTCAATCGCTCGAAGCTCAAAGTGCAGCTATCTCTGGCTCGGTCAAAGTCAGAGTGACGTCAGGCGGCGGCTGCGTCAGATACGCAAGAAGCGTTGCTATGGAAATTACGCAGCTACGTCGGATTAATATTATTTTCCAGCATGACTTTTGCCCATGCTTTTGCCACAGTCCTGTCATTGGTGGCTAAGCGAACACATGTTTTACTTACCTCCATATTATTTTCCATCAGGTTTCACTGCTTAATCCCAGCAGAGGCCGCGGGTCGAAGCTCCGTCAGATGTCAGAAATGTGGACAAATCAGCAACAATACTTTTAGATGAGACAGTCTAGTTACGCACACCTGCTGCAAAGTCAGATTAGTACACGAATTGTGCGTTTGAGTATTTCCAGATGAATATCTCCCCCATGTCCCACTCTTTACTGCCTCCTTACTGTGCAACAACCACTGCACTGATTTCTATGAGACATCTTCATCTGCTTCAACAGCAACGGAGCATCAGACACCTGCTTTACTCCGTCTTCCTTCATGAAACATACACTGCAGAAGTTCATTGTTGCTGAGGTCCACTTGAGTACGGCCGTGGCCCATAATGCATTTGAGTCTGGGATAATCCTCACACATAGTGTCAGTAATGCTCCTGATAAGGCCTGTGTTCACTGAAGCAGCTCCTTCATCAGGATATTATAATAGATCCATGATCAGCTCCATTGACCTCAGAGTTTTATGTAATAATTCTTAGTTAAATCCTAGGAACTAGCGCCCTCTCCTGGCGCTCCGTACCTTTAGTTTCTGCAGAATGCCGGTGTAACGCCGAGATACACTGTCTTGAAGAGATGCACTGCCTCAGCTGTTTATGATGTAATGCAAACCTGCGCATGCGCGTCTCACGGCAGCCGAAGCAAACCAAGATGGCGGACCGTGAATTGCTAAAAGTTGAAATACGAACGAATCAAGACACGAATGTCACTTTTAATGCAATTTGAGGCGAGATGTTGATGGTCCCGTTTTGTCACATGTGGGTTTTAAGAGTCAAAGTTTCGTGCAAAGTTTAGTTTAAGCAGTCAACTGCGCCTGTGAAACCACAAAGCTAATGTTTTCATAGCAGTCCGCGGCTGCTGACGTAGGCTGATGACGTAGGCTGATGACGCGTCCTGTGGCCACTCTACACTGGTCTGTCGGGTTGATAATGGAAAATGGGGAAAAAAATCAATCTAATTAAATATTTTGTTTGAACACACTATTGTTAATCATATTAAATACAGTACGATACATGTATTGAATGAAATGTATTATTTCCATTATCAACCCGACAGACCAGTTGTAAGCTGTAGAGTTGCCACAGGACGCGTCATCAGCCTACGTCAGCAGCCGCGGACTGCTATGAAAACATTAGCTTTGTGGTTTCACAGGCGCAGTTGACTGCTTAAACTAAACTTTGCACAAAACTTTGACTCTTAAAACCCACATGTGACAAAACAGAACCATCAACATCTCACCTCAAATTGCATTAAAAGTGACATTCGTGTCTGAATTCGTTCGTATTTCAACTTTTAAAGCAATTCACGGTCCGCCATCTTGGTTTGCTTCGGTTGCCGTGACACGCGCATGCGCAGGTTTGCATTACATCATAAACAGCTGAGGCTGTGCGTTACACCTGTAATTCTTACCACAGTGGTTCTTACACAGAAATATACTATATTCT